TCCAGTTCCCTCTAGGACTTTGAACATAAATGCATGCTGAATTTTGTCAAAAGCCTTTTCTGCATCTACTGAGATGACAATGTCGTTTTTGTCGTTGAGTCCATTTATATGATTAATGTTTATTGACTTGCATATATTGAACCATTCCTGCATCACTGGGATAAAGCCTATTTGAGTATGGTGAATGATCTTTTTGATGTGTGTCTGTATGCGGTTTGCAAGAATTTTGTTGAGAATATTTTCATCTATGTTCATTAAGGATATGGGTCTATAGTTTTCTTTTTTGGTTGTCTCTTTACCTGGTTTGGGTATTACAGTGATGCTGGCTTCGTAGAAGGAATTTGGGATTTCTCCCTCTGTTTCTATAATTTTGAATAATTTCAGTAATATTGGCTGGAGGTCTTCTTTAGATGTCTGGTAGAATTCTGCTGTAAATCTATCTGGGCCTGGACTTTTTTGGGGGGGGTAAGCTTTGTATTAATGTTTCAATTTATTTGTATGTTATGGGTCTGTTTAAACTGTTGATCTCTTCTTGGTTTGGTGGTTCTCTTGATTTCAGATATCCATCCATTTCTTTTAGACTTTCAGATTTAGTAGCGTATAGGTTTTTAAAATATTCTCTTCTAACGGTCTGGATCTTTTGGGTGTCTGTTGTGATGTTTCCCCTTTCATCTCTGATTTTGTTCATTTGGATTTGCTCTTTCTTTCTTTTGGTTTACTAGGCTAAGGGTCTGTCTCTCTTGTTTAGCTTTTCAAAGAATCAGCTCTTAGATTCATTGATTCTTTGTGTTGTTTTGTTTCTATTTCATTTCTGCTCTGAATTTTTGTTATTTCTTCTCTTCTGCTGGGTTTGAGTTTCATTTTTAATTGCCTTTCCAGTGTCTTGAGTTGCAGTGTTAGGTCATTTATTTGGGCTCTTTCTAATTTTTTAAGGTAGGCACTTAGTGCTATAAACTTCCCTTTTAGGACTGGTTTTAAAATGTCCCAGAGGTTGTGCTGTGTTGTATTGTTCTTTTCGTTGAATTCCAGGAATTCTTTTATTTCATTCTTAATTTCTCCTTTGACCCACTCATTGTTTAAGAGTGTGCTGTTCAATCGCTATGGGTTCAAGTAGTGACTAGGGCTTCTTCCAGTGTTGATTCTGAGCTTTATTGCATTGTAGTCTGATAGAATGCATGGAATTATTTCAATATTTTTGTATTTGTTGAGGTTTGTTTTGTGCCTCAGTATGTGGTCAATTTTTTAGAAAGTTCCATGGGGTGCTGAATAGAAAGTGTATTCTTTGGTGTTTAGGTGGAATATTCAGAAGATGTCTGTTAGATCCATTTGATGTATCATTTAATTCGGACATCTCTCTGTTTATTCTGTCTAGTTGACCTGTCTAATGGAGACCATGGTGTATTGAAGTTCCCTCCTATTACTGAGGGGAGTGATCTGTGTCTTAAAGTCCTGTAGTGTTGTTTTTATGAATTTGGATGCACAAGAGTTTGGTGCATGTATGTTCAGGATTGTAATATCTTCTTCTTGGTTATTTGTTCCTTTGATCAGAATGAAGTGACCTTCCTTATCTCTTCTGATTAGTTTCACTTTGAACTAATATCTGTTTTGTCAGATATTAAAATTGCAACCCCTGCTTCTTTCTTAGTGCCATTTGCTTTGAGTATTCTTTTCCATCTTTTTACCTTAAGGTAGTGCTTGTCCTTGAAGGTAGGATGGGTTTCTTGCAGAGAGCAAAGAGATGGATTTTGTTTCTTAATCCATTCACTTAGCCTGTGTTTTTTGACTGGGGAGTTCAGTCCATTGATATTTAATGTTATTATTGAAAGATGTGTATTGGTTGCCATCATTTTGATTGCTGTTTGTGTTCTCTAATTTTGTGTTTCATCAATTATACCTTTATTTATTTTCTTTCTGCAACCCCTTGGGTATAGTCATTCCTTTCTTCTGCTCTTTGTATTGCTCCCAGAACTCTCTGAAGGGCTGGTTTTGTGGACAAGAATTCCTTCAGCCTATTTATGTCATGGAAGATTTTTCTTTACCCTTCGACTATAGCAGACATTTTGGCTGGGTATAGTAATCTAGGTTGGCATCTGTGGTCAATTAAAACCGGTAATGCTTTGATCCCGGCTCTTCTGGCTTTCATAGTTTAAGGTGATAAGTCAGCTGTAATCCTAATGGGCTTTCCTTTGTATGTGACTTGTTGTTTTTCTTTTGCAGCTTTCAGTATTATCTCTTTGTTCTGTGCGTTTAGTGTTTTTACTATGATGTGCCATGGAGAGTTTCTTTTCTGGTCCTGTCTGTTTGGTGTTCTATATGCTGTTTTTTAAATTTTTCCATAATCTTTGCTTGAGTGGTCCATTTCTTCAACTTTATACTCCAGTGTTGATATTCTGTTTTCCATTTCATTCATTCTAGTGGTGAGGCTTTCCTGTTGTTTCAAATTGGCTTATTGAGTTTTACACTTCCTTCTTCATTTCTGCCTGAGTTTTCTTCAGTGTTTCTGTCTCTTTTGTTAATTCATTCAGAAGTTTATCCCTATCTTCTTTTAGTTTTTTGATTTGTTTGTTCGTGTTTTTTTTTAATTCATTGAATTCCTTGATCATGTTTATGTTTGTTCTTTTAAGTTCAGTGTCCTGGGTTATCTCCAAGGGGTTCTCCTTGTAGAACTCTTCTACAGGATTGGTGGAGTTTGGTGGGAACATAGTGTTTTGGCTTTCCATTTTATTATTCTTTCATTGTGATTTTGGCATGTGAATTTCTTTTGTTTATGATTCTGATGTGAGAATTAAGTTGAAGTATGCTTCTGTTTGTATTATTGGGGTTCCTAGGTCCTTTCTTTATTGGTTATGTAAAGCTGGTACAAGCTTCAGGTTCTCTCAGGTTTAATTTGGAGAGAACTGATGGCTTCAGATCAGCTATTCAGGAGTACTCACAGAAGCCCAATTCAGGTTCCAGTCAGGTATACTCAGGCTTCCTTCACCACGTGGAGGCAGGATCTGGTCAATCTCAGGCAGTCATCCCCTACGTTCTCAGGCCCTCTGCCAGAGGGAGGCCAGAACTCGGCACTCTCTGGCAGCCTGTTGAGATCAGAGCTGCTGCACCTATGGAGGTTGGAACCCACCCTCTCGATGTATAGGTGTTTTGTCTCCACATCCTCAACCATATTTGTTTTGTTTCTTGCTTTTTTTGATTATAGCATTCTAACCAAAGTGAGGTAGCATTTCATTGTTGGGTTATTTTTCCTTTACCAGATGGCGAACAATTTAAGCACTCTTTCATGTATTAATTGGCCACTAATAT